CGGCCCCGTGGACGAGGTGGCCACGGCCATCGTCCCCGATGGAGGCCGTTTTGCTACAGAGACGGCCCCGTGGACGAGGTGGCCACGGTCATCGTCACCAATGGAGGCCGTTCTCCTACAGAGACAGCCCCGTGGACGAGGTGGCCACGGCCATCGTCACCAATGGAGGCCGTTCTCCTACAGAGACGGCCCCGTGGACGAGGTGGCCACGGCCATCGTCACCAATGGAGGCCGTTCTCCTACAGAGACGGCCCCGTGGACGAGGTCGCCACGGCCATCATCCCCAATGGAGGCCGTTCTGCTACCGAGACGGGCCCGTGGACGAGGTGGCCACGGCCATCGTCCCCAATGGAGGCCGTTTTGCTACAGAGACGGCCCCATGGACGAGGTCGCCACGGCCATCGTCTCCGATGGAGGCCGTTTTGCTACAGAGACGGCCCCGTGGACGAGGTCGCCACGGCCATCGTTCCCAATGGAGGCCGTTCTCCTACAGAGACAGCCCCGTGGACGAGGTGGCCACGGCCATCGTCCCCAATGGAGGCTGTTTTGCTACAGAGACGGCCCCGTGGACGAGGTCGCCACGGCCATCGTCCCCAATGGAGGCCGTTCTGCTACCGAGACGGGCCCGTGGACGAGGTGGCCATGGCCATCGTCCCCAATGGAGGCCGTTTTGCTACAGAGACGGCCCCGTGGACGAGGTCGCCACGGCCATCGTCTCCGATGGAGGCCGTTCTCCTACAGAGACAGCCCCGTGGACGAGGTCGCCACGGCCATCGTCCCCAATGGAGGCCGTTTTGCTACAGAGACGGCCCCGTGGACGAGGTCGCCATGGCCATCGTCCCCAATGGAGGCCGCTCTGCTACCGAGACGGGCCCGTGGACGAGGTCGCCACGGCCATCGTCTCCGATGGAGGCCGTTCTCCTACAGAGACAGCCCCGTGGACGAGGTCGCCACGGCCATCGTCCCCAATGGAGGCCGTACTGCTACAGAGACGGCCCCGTGGACGAGGTCGCCATGGCCAGCGTCTCCGATGGAGGCCGTTCTGCTACAGAGACGGCCCCGTGGACGAGGTCGCCACGGCCATCGTCTCCGATGGAGGCCGTTCTCCTACAGAGACAGCCCCGTGGACGAGGTCGCCACGGCCATCGTCTCCGCTGGAGGCCGTACTGCTACAGAGACGGCCCCGTGGACGAGGTGGCCACGGGCATCGTCCCTAAAGGAGGCCGTTCTGCTACCGAGAGAGCCCCGTGGACGTGGCAGGTGAGCGTTTATTTTGATAGGCAATCTGTTTTGGTTAGTAGACGCTGGGACGGATACAGCTGGTATTAGCAGTATGAAAGCCTGGAAGACGTTTCGCGACATTTTCTCGAGGCAAAGGCTGGCGCATGCACCGTCGCGCCGTGAAAACTGGTGACCTATATATACCACGCGTAGGTGCATTTTTCGCTGTCGCTGTGATGTCGTGACATCGCCCCCGAGCGTGGCGCGTTCATGTGCGAGTGAAAGCGGCCGAGGCGGCCGGGCAACTTAGATCGTGATTCTAGCCGAGGGAACGCGCGCCGGCCGTAGTGCGAAAGACCCATGGCCATGACAGGTTCCGAAGGGACCGAGTGTTTTGATTGGCCGGGAGTGGTCCCATCTCAAGGAAGATCAGTAGACAACTCGTACCGTTTTTCGTGTGGTGTTTTCACCGCTGTTTGCTGTAAATAGATTACCAGCAGGGTGGTAGCTTCGCTCGCTGCAGCGGCTGCGGATCCTTAAGTCGACGTTTATGCCAGACTGGATGCTGGACTCTACTTCGTTTTAGTTCGTTATGATCGCGTCTATGCTTGGGCATTGCTGCATGTGTTTTGAACATTGTTCGTGGCTCAATTGATGATCTCATGCAGAATCGATAACCCGTATAGATAGTGTCCTGTAGACATTCGCATCTTGTCCCTCCTATACTTTCAGGTTACAAGAACACCACACAGGTCGTACGACGGTCCGTATACTCAAACTACCTAGTGGTTCTGATATGCAACGCATGTATGGCGGCTGTCAACTTGTGTTAGACGCTTCCGACCCTCTTTTATCGTTTCTTTCAGTTATAACGGTTCTCCAGCTGTCGCATAAGGGGCCTCTGCTGCATACAACCATTACAACAATGTTCTCTGAAGCGGGGATTCGTCGATCGGAACATGGCGCTTTTGAAGAGTCGTCAATGTCACCTATACTCTTTCCTTAACTTATTTCTCTAGACCCTTGATTGGAACAGACGCCTCCGAATCGCCACCATATAGGGCAGATAGGTAGCGATTCAGTGGCTTCTGTTCCAATTAAGCTCTTCATTCTTAATTTGCCTATTCCTCCCTTCATCCCAGGCTGATTTTTTTTCTACCAAGTGGTTTTCTTTCCTTCTCAATGCAGAAAGCACAGGCTGCTTCAATGATCGCTGATTTGTCAGTTCCATTCGTTCGTCTTAGTTGAAAATTCAGCTATAACAGTGTCGCTTTCGTTTTGAGCGATTCGGAGGCTTCTGTTCCAATTAACCACTTCATTACTAATTTGTCTATTCCTCCCTTCATCCTGGGCTGTTTTTTTCTACTGCGTGTTTTTTTCCTACTCAATGCAGAAAGCACTGCCTGATCCAATGATCGCTGATTTGTCAGTTCCGTTCGTCGGTCTTGGTCGATATTACTGCTACAACAGTGTCGCTTTCGTTTCGGCGCACGGAAGGAGAGGAAATTATGCCGACGGTGCAGTGCTGATTACGGTCGAACCAGATAGGACACACTTTTTCAATAGTGATTGACTCCCGTCTTCGTGTACGTTCGTGTGTGATTTTGAACTGACCAGTTCTTGCAAGTTTTGTCGTCGATGCATCAGAAATGACGCGTGTGGCCACCGCCACTAATTTTTCTTGCTGTCTGTTCATGCAATCTGCGTGCGTGAAGCCTGCTTCACGCATGCTCAAACATGTTATAATACCGAGCCATCGATGCATCGATTATTCATTGGTATAACATGTTTAAGGACACCAATCCAGAGGACACAACAGCCTAATCACGTGATACCTTTGTCAGATTTGGGCACTTTCTTTTGAGCCTGGACGCTCCTTTCATAGATTAAAATGTGTGTCATAGTTCTCATCAGGCTCTGCAGCTTATCAATCAGAAATTTTGTGTTTAAAGTAGTACTTTCTGAGGTGAATGAATTATTATTCGTAATTATTTAAGCCCATTGTAAAGAATGGTTGGTGTGAAGAAAGAAATTCATCAATTTTGATACCCTGACCTCTCAGAATTACGGAGATATGGGAAGGAATTGTATAGAAGTCGTCTCGAAGTGCAGACGTCGTACCCTTTCATTTGTTATTTTCAGAGTTACTCGAGCGAAATGTGAGCATTAAAAAGCTACTTGTATTTTTCTTGCGCGCACTTAGATTTTTCTGATGGAGCCATGCAACACTGTTTCAAGTAAAGATATAAAGGCTTCACTAAAATAGTTTATTGCCTCTACGAATCGACTGCTGCAAAAAAATATAATAATTAATGCGAGTTCCATTTGCTGCACGTTGCAATTGCTTTCCCACTTCTTTCGTCCCGATCAGCGCGCTGCAGCAGCGATTTCGGGGCGGTATATATCGTGGGAGGAACAAGTTACGTCACGCGCGCGTCATGATCTTAAGCACTTTTCATGTTCGGATTACTTTCAGTGTGATAGCGAGCACGTGGCGACGGCCACGGTAAGTATGCAGTTCACCATGCTGAAATCAGCCAATGGCCGTGGACATGGTCTGGTCCTTTGGGTATATGACATCTTTTATAAAAACAAGAGGGAGTGATTTCCAGCTTACTCTGACAATTGTAAATTCCAGGTTGCTTGAAGCGCTATAGCGTTCGGCTCGCGTGTTCCAAGGAGCATCGAGTATACCGATCATCAGCGTTTGCAGGGCCCCTTTAGGGCTGGCGCTAGTCAACTGCAGTATGTCATGTGCACTCTAATGTACCGTCCAAGTAGGCATATGTAAACAACACTTTTTTACCTCCCAAGGAGCTTTATTTATTCATTTATTTATTCATTTTAAATACCGCAAACATTCCGCCTCTCTCATGTTGTGATGCTTTGCATGATGGGTGGGTAACATATATGTTCACTGCCGTATAATTATTCTGCTCCGAGTTTTGAGCTTACCAAATCGCTGTGCATTACGAATCCTGTGTATAAGCCTACATGCCGCATTAATCGGTAAGGAATTACAAAAAATGAAAATCATTCTTTGCCTATGTTACTAGCGCAAAGGAGCCTTATGAAGTCAAATGTCCGGCCGGTTATTTCTCTGCAGTTGAGAATGGGCTAAGGGCAGAGAAGTTACTACGTTTTCCGCAACAGAAGTTACATCGTAATAGCTGTATATATTTTTATATTTTTGCTTGCTTGATTTCATCGTTATACAATATTGGTGGTATGTGTACTCAGAGTTTGGGCGAGTAATAATTGTTACCATATACCTTGAAATTTCGCGCTTTGCGCTAAGGTGCACATGTCTCGCAACAACTCAAGTAGTTGGTGGAGAACACACTGCAGCCCATAGATTGAGCGGTCAAAATAAATAAGTGCATAGGCATATCGCTTCTCCTGCCTTGTCGTACATCACTCGCGTATTTACCGCTCTCTTCAAGAACACGAAAACGGCCTGCTGATCATGTGGTTCCTCCGCTGTCGCCCTTCTTGCCTCCTCTCTTCTTTTGATGATAGACATGAGGGGAGGAGGCTCGAGAAGCGCAAAACACTCCCAGGTCGCAAGAAAAGGAGAGAGAGAGACAGGCGCGCGTGCTTACGGTACGACTTCCGGGAGCTTCTGGAAGGCTTCTGTGGATGCTTATTTTGAGATCCGTCTGCGAAGAGCCCATTTCTAAACTTGGCTAAAAGGACCCGGCCCGTGGCTGGCGTTCCCTTCTGCGGCGCTTCCTGCTCTGACTGTGACGCCGCGCAGCTCTTTCTGTCGCCAAGGCGCGCGGCCCCGGTGCAACGCACCCGCCGCGTTGTCGGCGCTCGGGCGCTGGTCTCATGAGCTTCCGTACGCTGTTCGCGTGGTTAGCATCCGCGGCGGACGACTACTCCTTGGGAAGGCTACCGATCGGCGTTGCCCTGCAGCGTCTTTCACCGAGCGGGGAAGTTCGAAGACGGCAGTCTTTCGCGCTAGAATATTTCTGATACAGGAGAAGAAATGGACAAAGGCCGACCCGTGGTAACAAGGACAACGACCGCTAGAAGCTATCGCACTCCGACGGCCATTGGTGCCAGTGATAGTGGCGAGCTTTTTTGCGGGTTCCTGAACTTGGCGGTTTTCAACACGAGGACAGGCATCTACAAGGTCCTTGAAACGGTAAGGTGTCTGCACTAGCTGTCGTAAGCGACTCGATATACTTTCGCTCTGCCACAAAGGTTGTGCGCGGGGAAATCAGAAAGTCTTGATGGTCTGTTTAATATATTTCTCGGTCTGGGAAGCGAAGAGAAAAAAAGCGTCGGTGGGGATGCAAGGGGCGTTTTATAGCCTCTAGACAAGTGTATGTACGGTAACATCAAATTTCGTAAGAAACTGAGCATTACGAAAGACCGCCACTGACTTGCATGTCCGTTTGTTTACGTGTTTTTATATCCGTTTGTTCCCACCTAGCAGCCCTAGATGGGAACAGACGGACATGATGCTTTCTATAGCTTGATGCACAATTTGACGTTCTATTTGTGGGTAACCTAACTCGCGTAATTCTATATCAAAGATTTGGTAAAAAATGCTAACGGATAAGATTCATGATTTTGCGCAATGGGAAGGCGAACGAAACACTGTTGGTTTTGCGCAATGGGAAGGCGAACGAAACACTGTTGGTCTCACCAGTGCGTGCCATTGCCCCTCTCCCCTTTTTAAATTAGCTTCGCGCCATTCAGCTAGGAGATGTTATGTGTCCGGTTTATATTTGTTTCAACATGGATCATTGTCTCCATTTCGCTTTCACACAAATATTTTTTTCTTATCTGTTGTTAACCTAATAACTGTGTATAATTATCAGGGAATATGACTAACAATTATGCTTATCGAAGGCTCAATTAGGAATCGCGGTAAGGGCGGATAAAAACTTTCTTCCGGATAGTTTAGCATGCTGCACCTTATTTATCCGAATATTGGATGACACTTTTTTCTCAGTCCATATGAACTGAGAGCTACGTCTCGATATATCGTACCCGTCACAGTGGTTCATTGTGGCTATGGTGCTCTATACTGCCGCTCGTTGCGAATATACAAGATGCCCGGGTGCTCACATTTGGGTGCACGTTAATGAACCTTATGTCATCTGAATGTCCAAATTCACCCGCTACAGCGCCTCTCATGAGCATAACGTGGTTTTGTGACCCAACAGTTATTATTACATCTCAATATATTCATAGCCCCGACCAATACTCTTCAACAAAGTTGGTGTTCTTGCGCTGTTTCCAAGTGTTAAATATCATGTAGGCTGCACCACAGCTCTTTATATACGTATACATCTGCGGGAACTATAAACAGAATGAAAGTATAAAGAGCGTGTAAAAGAAAAAACGCCAGGTCTGTGCGGAAGGTGCAGTACAGTCACAGCGAAATCAGAAAAGCGGCCTTTCAGAGCCTTTTCAAAACACTCATTGGATAACTGCTCCCAGCCCACTTGCCGGATACCCACTACGATGTTATTAATTTCTGGGTAGTAGGCCAGCATTCGCTTAGCTATCCTTCGTCATTCTTCAGAGAAGCGTGGTATCTGCTAAACACTTGAAAAGGAATTTTGTGCCAATTGTCCATGCAGTGACTGACGACAATGAGGAATTGTGCCTGAAGTGGGTATGCGCCACAGTTAATGGGTGGTCAACAAGCTTTCGTAAAGAGTTGGAGCATTGGACGACCCACTCGCTACGCTATTCGCATTGTGTGACACCTGGTTGTTTTTGTTTTCTGTTTTAAAACGCTTTATTACGCATACTAACGCGATTCCTTTCCTGACATCAAGCCTGCCTATATAAGGCAAGTTTGCGTACAAGTCCCAAGCACCGTGATTTCTTAGTGGTAGAATACTGGACTGATACACAGTAGACCCGGGTTCGAGACCCGCTGTGTCATTGGTAATAGGTTTCTTTTTCTTATTTAGTGCGGCGATAGTGGTTACGGACACTGCGTGCGGCGGACAACGGCGCCACGCGTGACCAGAGTTTGGATCTCGTAACAGCTTTCGCTGTAAAATGGCGAGTCATTACCTCTGCGAAGGAGGACGACCAGCGAGGCTGCTTAGCCGATGACACAGAGGTGACGCGAAATTTGAAACCCGATCGCACACCTCGCAACTAATTCTAGAACCTTTATACACAGAGAGTTGTTTGAAATTAGCGTATACCCTGTGGGGGTGCTGACCCCCCCCCTGTAAAGTTGTCTGCGCCGCGTGGCGCACGTGTCTCGCCCCAAGGCTTCATTTCGGTGGTGACCACCGCCGGGCGATAGATGGCGTCGTGTTCGCTTTGAGTACCATTGTTGGTAGAGTGGTAGCGCCGGTGGTGGCCCCTGGCGGAAGGCAGGCCTTGGTGGTGGGCGAGAGTGGAGCGAGCCTCTTCTGCGCGTGGCGGCTGCCGCGAACGGTTGTCTGTAGCGCGGGTCCCCGGTGCTCGGCACCGCGGGCTTCGCGCCGGGGTCCCACGTGGAAAGTCAGGCGTTGGCGACGCCGCCTTGGGTATGTGTTAGTGTGTTGGGTGTGTTAGTGTGTGTTTATCATGTTATTGTGTGTTTAGTGTGTCACTGCGTTATGTTGTTTGTATGGTAGCGTGTTAATTGAAAATTGATGTATCATTCGGCGGACGATATCGTCGACTAAATTAGTTAATAAATGTATGTGTGTGGTGTGCTTTGGTACCGACCGTGTCCACTGTGTCCGTTCACTCCAAGAGCGTGGCGTGGCGATGCGCTCGTTCTTCTTCGCCGAGACCCCACACTGGCTGCCCAACGTGGAGCTCTTGGAGAATCGGACGACAGTTTTTGCGGTTCAGTACACGGATTTTGTTAGAGCCGGAGTAGAGTAGGCCTAGGGGGGACTTCTTTGCTAGCGTCGGTGGTGTGCTGTGTTGAGAAGCGAGGGGATTGGTTTTGTAACGTGTTTCAATTTGTCGGCAAGTTGACTTTCTATTTATTTTTTTTGCTCGCAAGTGTTGTTATTTTTTGTTGTTAGTTTTCAAAAACGTTGTTGAATTAGGACGAGAGCCATGCGGTCCGCATCCTGGGGTGAGCAAGGCCTAGAGCACGTGGTTTGTAGGCCAGGCCCGAAGCGAGTGAGTACGGAAGCCTCGTGGATGGTCCGATTTTCTGTGAATAGCTTCTTCTATCTCTTTTGGCTCAGGGAGCCGGGCGTCGTTGCTGACTTGTATTGCGGCTCGACGCCGAGGCGTCGTGACACCGCCCGGGGCGGTGGACGCCGATCGCTCGGTAAGCTGCTGTGTGCGGCGAGCGATAGGGCCACCTCACAGAGTGGACGTCTCCTCGCGGCTGCCTCTTCTGCGCCTAGGCTGGGTGCTGGGTGGATGCCGGTTGTTGCCGTGCGACTCATTAGGCCTAAGGCTCTACGCAGCCGCCTGTCGCACGTGGCACAGCTAGGTGGATCGTGGCGTTGAGGTGTTGCGCTCCGCTTCCCTCACTTTTCTTTTCTAATGTGAGCACGAGTTAGGAAAAGAGATTTTTGTTTTATTTTGATGGTCGTCTCGGCTGCCACCGATTAGCTAGCAGTACTGACAACCGTACCACGTGGCCGAAAAGCCTGAAGCTCCCTCCCCTGGGCCGCGCTCCTTTGTTTCTTTCGAGTTTTGTTTTTTATTGATGTATTCAGCGGAAGGGATGTCATCCACGGCCGGCTGTCCTGTACATCGGCAGCGTCGTTGGCCAGGAATGCGGTCGTGAGGTCGGGCGATGGAGATGCCTGGGACCTGCGCAACTGCCTGCAGTCCGGCGCCCTCGGGAGTGCTGGTCGCAACTGGAAGACGTGTCGGCGCTAGCGATGGATCGTCGCGCCGACGGCAACGTTGCTGTTGCGGGGCCGGTGCTGAGGTGAAGTCTGGCCGGACAGTGCAGCAGTGTCGACCAGCGGTGGTGTCGTGGTGCAAGGACATTATGGTCGTGCGATATTATTTTTTTTGTTAAAGCTTGTGTAGCTAAATTTTGATTTCGGGATATGGTTTGATTTAAGGTTGGGGGAATGTGGGGGTGCTGACCCCCCCCCTGTAAAGTTGTCTGCGCCGCGTGGCGCACGTGTCTCGCCCCAAGGCTTCATTTCGGTGGTGACCACCGCCGGGCGATAGATGGCGTCGTGTTCGCTTTGAGTACCATTGTTGGTAGAGTGGTAGCGCCGGTGGTGGCCCCTGGCGGAAGGCAGGCCTTGGTGGTGGGCGAGAGTGGAGCGAGCCTCTTCTGCGCGTGGCGGCTGCCGCGAACGGTTGTCTGTAGCGCGGGTCCCCGGTGCTCGGCACCGCGGGCTTCGCGCCGGGGTCCCACGTGGAAAGTCAGGCGTTGGCGACGCCGCCTTGGGTATGTGTTAGTGTGTTGGGTGTGTTAGTGTGTGTTTATCATGTTATTGTGTGTTTAGTGTGTCACTGCGTTATGTTGTTTGTATGGTAGCGTGTTAATTGAAAATTGATGTATCATTCGGCGGACGATATCGTCGACTAAATTAGTTAATAAATGTATGTGTGTGGTGTGCTTTGGTACCGACCGTGTCCACTGTGTCCGTTCACTCCAAGAGCGTGGCGTGGCGATGCGCTCGTTCTTCTTCGCCGAGACCCCACAACCCCTTCGAAGTTATCCATTTCGGAAGCATGGTACTTCGTTCTGGGACTTCTTCTTTTGCCGCATTCTCCGCTTCACAACATGCTTCGTGTTGCGTGGCTTGCTGCATGCACTTGGCGTGTCATGCGCAATCTGAATGGGTGTTTGCCTCCCGCGTGTTGCCTTGTTTGCTCTTAGTGTTTACCGTGCAGTGGTGAGTAGCAGGTTTTTCCCGATTTGTGTGGCACTTGCGTTCTTGTAGACTCAGAGAAAAAAAATCACGGAACCCTATAGCGATGTACAGCTTAGATATAAAACTAATTTATTCAAAAGAAAAGGAGATCCATGTTGAGGAGTATGCAGTTATACTCGAATCGACTGGCTGCATTCGTTACCTGTAAGGATTTTAATTACACAATACTGAGGCTTAGCAGTCGAAAATCTCTGTTGTTTTTCCTCAGGCCGATTGTTTTTTTGTTTTTTTTTTGGCTTATCGGTGCTTTCGAATGGTGAGACCGCACGGTACTGTACTGATGTGTTTTTCGTTTGAGATTTTGCGCTTT